TTCGTTGTTGAATTCTGAGCAGTTATCGAAGAAAGAGCATCTGCCACAATTTGGTGAACTACCTTCTTATATTTAGCATTTCAACGAGAAGGTAAAAACGAACACCGTGGTCTGTGGTATTTTTTATCTCCTACGAATTTTTATGGTGGAGGAAGCACCATATTTTCGAAATATCATCAACTTAAGCATGAAAGATTTTTAAAATATCATAAACTTTAACTCTTGGAAAGTGAAGTACGTACGAATATGCACTAATAGTACGTGACTGGGTATTATAAAGGTAGGTGTTTTAGACGTTTCTGAAGGCCTTCGTAATGCCTCGTACTGGTCTTCGAAATATGACAACAAATCAACCCATAGTTCGAAGCGACCGACGTCGAATGAGAAGAGATATCGCAACCGACGTTGGCGTTAACTATGTAACCGTCTCGAGGCAATTATACCATTCATGCTGGATAATCGTGGTGTTAGGATGCAAGGACCTTTCATGGCTCGTCCGAAACTTCAAAGAATTGGTTGAGATGTTTCATTTCATTACACTTTTCACCAAAGCTCCTCTTTATTCAGAACTGTGCAGTGGTTAAAATTGAATGGATTACCTTTCTTTGGAAATCAACGGAAATCATCAGGATTAGTTCGTTGTCTATGAACCTCAGAAGTCCTACAACGAGGAACCACGCATCTATTGACCTAATGGCAGTGTTGGACAAAACTACACGTATGCAGCTAATTAATTGTTCTCTAAAATGAGTAAATTTCGTGAGAAATTTAAGAGAAAAGTGGTAACGTTCCAATGCACCCACTGAGTGGGCAAACTTCATTTCCAAGCACAACATCAGTTGTGGCATCAACGATATATCTTAATGATAAAAGCAATTTCATTGCTCCCCGTTTAGATTCCATATATTTTTCGCCAAAACTCGATCACAATCGGATTCTTTTCGACTTCTTTCGGCTGCTAAAAAGTCACTAACAAAAACATGTTTGGCCAATAACAATTTTACAGGGACCGTTTAATTTTCAGAATCTAATTTTGTAATGGTTTTCAAGTAGACTGATTAGAAGGGAGATTTACAGTCATGTACATTTCAAAAAAAAATCCTAGCTATTCGCAGCGAAAATGTGTACGAGTACGTTGTTAAAGGATAGTTGAAAACGACCGATCAAAACAGTGTTAACAAGTTCTGGTCGTTCCCGGGTTCGACTTTCTATTAACCTCGGCATTGGAATACGAGGTTGTTATACGGCATACATTTACTTCCATAGAAAAACACAAAACAGTACAACAGTAGCTGACGTTTCGGCAGTATCGCCTTCTTCAGCATCAATTTCTGATGTGGAGCGGTGCAGCCATCAACTATTTGCGACTATAATCAGCTGTTCTAATCTTCTTGATTCAAAGTCAAGAAAAAAGCGGTAAGTTTTTCGAGAAACTGCTGATCATGTGACTGCCGTTTAGATTCTCATCTCTCTGTATGTGTTATTGAAACGTTTGGCCTCATCAACTGTATATCATTATACCCTTCGAGGCTCTGAAGAAGGCGATTCTGCCGAAACGTCAGCTAGCGTTGCATTGTATTGTGTTTTTCTATGGAAGTAAATGTATGCTGTTTAAAAACCTCGCGATTGCTGAACAAGAAAACGACACATTCTTGTTCTGATATTTCAGATGATATATGAAAGATGTTGTGTGGCATAGTTTAGAATGAATATAATTCACCATTGTCAAAGCCAAAAATGTTTGATTGAGTCCGGCATCCCTATGCTTCGAAGTCATTGCGGCTGATAGATGATTGCTGATACGATTGGCAGAGTAAAAACAAGGTTTATAGGAAGCCAAAAGTATGCGCAACAGTTGGTGTGCTTCACGTAAGCTCCTAGTTAGGGTAGCTGCGAGTTCTAATCTGCCCTTTGGTCCCGAGTATCGCTAATATCTCAGCATATTTGTCATTTCATTTCATATCGTGCCCTGTCACGAAAAAAGAATTATCATTAATAGAAAGGCGAAGTATTTATTCAGTAATTCTCAAGATCGACTTTCCATGAATTTCGTCATTAATGAGACAGTTCACTTTTTGCCCTGATGAGCAAGCACGAGGTATTTTACTTTTTCTTCGCGAGGAAAAGCTATGTTTCTCCTAATTTCGTCTTCTACAGAGGCTCTTTCTCATAGATGCACTCCAACTCGGACTTAGTGGAATACTTGTAGAAAACGAGTCTGAAGAAGGCGCAGTCCGCCGAAATGTCAGTTTTTTTTAATAAATAAAAGTAAAATAACAGACTCGTACTTACTCATCAGGGTAAAAAGTGAGTTATTTGTTTGGTATTTTTTGTCTTGAGCAAGACAACAGCACCGTTGTGAGACCCCAGCACTTCTATCGTTCGATCGTTATCCACGCATTTATTTTCCATCCAAGTCTTCAGATTTTCATGTGCCCTAGGCTTCTGCCTTTTAGGATTTTTGGTCTTCTCCATGGATTCATTGAATTCTGACTAGGCAGATTATCCTTCAAATCCTAGAATTTTTGAGCTAAGGCTTTTCCGGACCTTTATCAGAACATAGCACCAACTTTAGAAGACTGAAGTGAATCAGCTTATCCCGAACCAGAATGGGACCAGCGTCCTGACCTCGGTGGGAGCATTGCTAAGTCATTGCTAAACGGCGTAGAACCAGAGTCTTGCGCTATGAGAAAATTTATGTCTAAGTAGTTCTGGAAAATTTCTAAAGTAAGAAAATAGAAGACAATTTGAGCTGGAAGCCAAGACGATTTCTGCAAACTGGTGTGATTACTCATCCATAATAACAATGTCCATATTGCATTACGGAAATTGTTATTATGGATGACCTATGTAGTTTCTCACAAGACTCCTTTATTGGAATGAGTGAAACTTTATCTTGAAAGTGGCACCAGACAGAAGCAGACGTATTCAATGAGGTGCTCGAGAATTTCACTGCGACTCTCCTGCTGCTCCTGCATCATGAGAGTCGCAGCAAGGGCCGGGGTGGCGTGGGAGTCCGCTCGCCATGCCAGATGTTCCCAATGTCGGCTGTAAAGAGAAAACGATGCATCACGACTTAACAGCGCGGTTTTATTACAACACATAAGCTCGGCAATACCAAATGCTATTTGCTCCAAGGAAAACACGTGCGTTTGTTGTCAGATTGCACACACACACGGACTTTTTTTTCGTGAAAAATGTCTAGTTTGCTCGTATACTACCGAACCAAATTTAACTAGCAACTGAGGTATGAAAAATGTCACAGGGTTGTAGAATAGATTTCATCAAAGATATCTATAACTTTCACGAAGCATTTTCTTAAATTTAATCTTATTCGTGGTTTAAAAGGCCAAGAAAACGGAAAACGAAAACTGAGTTCCTAAAAATTCCAGTGTAGGCTCTGCTGCATGCAAAAATGTCGATTAATTGGAAGACACCACTAGTTTTGTTTAACAAAATTCTTTTGTTCAGTTACTTCCGTGTCCGAAATACAATCGTTCACATGAAGACCGATAGAAATACATTTCTTGAGCTCCAGAAAATCAGAATTTCGTCTTGAAAGATCAAGGAGGAACTACCGTTTAAGCAGAAACCTACAAGAGGAGGTGTATTGGTTTGATGTTGAATGAGGCCATTATTTCTGCTTCCTATGCGTTGAAATAGATGCATTTCGAAGCCTTTGTTTCAGCGACTTTCTTTTACAAAAAACGTCTGTAGAAATTTGATGAAGTTATATGAAATCACTGCCTAGCATTGCGAGCAAGAGAAAAAGCTGGAGCATTAGGAAATCTTCGCATTGATCACGAGGGCGTCATATTGCACTTATTGATTTCAATAAAAGATAGAATAGTTATGTTGGGCAATTTTTCCATGAAATCGGGTAGCGTTCTCATCATCAGACATTCTCACGTAATCATAGCAATTGTTGCTAATAACTGATTCAGTTTGCATTTTTGTTTGTCAACATTGTTCTGAAAAGGCGACAAACAAGTGCCACCAAATCCAGAGATCATCAATTATTCGGGAACTGCTCTCTTCGAAGTGCAGCGCAGCATATTGGTCCAGATTCTTAACAAACACATAAATGAAGTTTCTATTGCTCGAAACTGAGCGAAGAATTTTATGCCAAAACGATGAAACTTTTACAACTATGTCATGATTCGGTTTACTCGCGAGTTTACGCAACGTTGCACGTGATTTTATTGTGCATAACTTTTCGGCACCATCGCTTCCCTATGAGCCGCGAAGATTTGAGAAGCGTGCGACCAACCAGTTACTTCTTGCTATGTTTGAGCTTTCGTAGTCACATTGAGTCAAGTCGATTAAGTAATACTATCTATTTCTACACTTTTCTTCTCTTACCTTCGCTCGTTTTCATGTTGTGTCTGCCTTTTTTGATACCAATTACATGGATTAAGTGTGTCTTTTATATAGCTAGGTAGCATGTCTCTCTATAACTGAAAGCAGCGAACTAGCCAAGATGGTAAGAATAAGGTAAGAATAAGGAAGGAATTGAGATCTTCCGAATCCTACGCGATATCATGGAAAACTGAAAAAATTTAAAATAAGCTACGAACACATTGATATCAGCAACACAGCTCATTTTTACAACAAAAATTTGTTCTCTAAAAATCCCTTTAAAACTGCCGAACCCATTCTTTCTGGAAAGTGTTATTCCCGTTAGAGAATGTGTAGCAAATTAGGTTAGGCAACATTCATTTCAACACATTTATCTCTAGTAGGCATGTAATAAAAGGCAGTTCAAGGAACAGTAATTTCTTCTCCGGCAGCTTTTGCCTCGGCAGGTTCTGTTTGGGCAGGCGGCTGAAAATCCTCTAATTAGGATTTTGAATATGCCATATCTTGCTGCGATATTAAAACAATCATCATTTTGGTTCTTTGTTTAAAAAATTGAATGAAGAGCGAGCGTGATTGAACGGAATGAATTTGGCTAGATTAATTCCGTCAAGAATCGAATTTTCGATATGTACTGAAGCCCTTCAGCGCACTTGATCCTGTTCATCCTCAAAGTCTTTGTCCGGAAGCTGCAACGGTTTCGGTTCAACTGGTGGCTTAGCAGCTTCTCCTTCAGCTTTAACTTGTTCGACGTACTTCGGCGGTTCAAGGTTTTTACTGCAATAATACATACTTTACGCTCCACTAAAACATTAGTTTGGAAAATGAAACTCACCGAAGTTGCTCAAGTTCCTCATTTTCTTTTCGTCCCCAATCACTGGGAGGTCGAGCTGTTCCATGGGCAATAGTGCGAGGTTTGGGAACTACCGGATGTTCGAACATAATACGACGATCAACGTATGACCTAAAATAATTAACTAGTACACTGTCATTGAAACATCTTACAGGAAAAAAAAATCCAGCAGCACCTTCTATCCGTTTGTCGATCGAATTTTGATGCAGTCGTTACTTTTGGAGGATGACGTGAAGAGGCAGCCTCCTCAGGATCTAAACCTTTTTGTAGCGCCTTGTTACGAGCAACTTGTCGTTGACGTTCATTCAGCTCTTTCACCTTAGTTTATGGAAATCACTTGTATCAATGGTGTTTCTCTTAACATTTAGCTGTTAGTGAACCCACATCATACTCTTGTCGCTCATGACGCTTTTCCAGGTCATACTTCTCGGCTTCAAGTTTGGTGATTCGGGCATGAAGATTCTTAATTCTATCTTTCAAGTCATTTGGAAGAAGAGAAGAAATATCAACTGGACGACAGACAGCGGCAAGGAACGCTCGTTTAGCCTCTTCCTGCTGTTCTTTGCTGAGTACGTCCTTTGTCTTGGCCTATAATATATTAATTCAGTTGTTAAATAATGATGACTGAAAGGCTCATCCGATTTTAAAACCAAAACATCTCACGCTTTTCCAGTTTTCTTTTAGTAAATTCCCACTTAACGAACGAAACGTTCTGCTAAAAAAAATTGCTGCTCACCTGGGTAAGGTTACCAAACTGTGCAGCCTTATCGGTCTTCGTTACAGTGAAGTTCCTCCCACCACCAGGTACAGCAGTAGCAGCCGCGAATGAACCAGCCATCATCTGCTGGCGGCGCATTCTTTCCTCATTTTTGCGATTCTTCTCTGCATCAGCTTTTGCTTTTCGTTCATCCTTTAAAAATACGTTAATGTGAGCTAATCTGCGCCATAACCACCCTCAAGCATGTAGTCAAGTTAAACTAACTTTTCCTTACCTCTTCTTTTCGCCTACGTTCTTCGTCCATACGACGGCGTTCAGCAAATTGTCTCTCATCTTCTTCACGCTCGGCACGTCTTTTTTCCTGCTTCTCCTTTAACTCACGCAACTCTTCCTCCATTTTCTGCTTTTCAACTACGCGTCGTTGTTCATAGTCAAGCATTTTCAACGCTTCCTCTTCCTCATGGCGTTTTTTGGCTGCCTAGAATAGCATATTTTAATTTAGAAATGTGTAGCAAAAAAAATTGGAGCACGCACTAGCATGGCGGCTTCAGCTTCGGTCATTTCTACAGGGGGCTTTTCTTCTTGAGGAGGAGGAGCCCTTGACTTTGGCCTAAATGTTGCAATTCAACAAATAGAAATATGAACCATCCTTTAAACTAAGTGCATCATCACTTTTCCTCTTCAACGGGAGCTTGCTCCTCTGCTTGCTCTTGCTCCTCTTGTTGTCTAAAATTATAGAAGACTTCACAACCATGCATAGTTCATATTTTGATATGTGTTCTACGAAGATATACTTACTCTTCTTCTGCGCCATCCTCTTCCTCTACCTCCTCCTCTTCAGAGCTAAACAACTGTCACAATTAAGAAAGTAATAAAACAGATTTCACAAAGGAAGCAGAGATGGATTATACTCACTATGCTTCCTCTTCGTCTGACATCTCTTTAAACCTGTAAGCTCAAAAGTAAGATCGTAACAAAATATTTGCAACGAATATATGTGAAAAATGAAACTACAGACATCAGTGCTATAGATGAGAAACGAGAAAATGATAAAGGAAGCAGTCCTCGGCAATGTCTTAGATCATCAGTGCCGATAGTGGAAGGGGCGGAGCCTCATTAGTGTAAAATCCTTCCCTAGGTGTTTACGTAGGCGCTGCGCTACATAGCGTAGCGATGACCAGCTTTACAACCAAAAAGCACAATTGTCTCGAAAGGGTCTCCGTCGACTATTGCTTCACTTATATCTACACATCGAATATCAACAGCGGACCAGCGGTGCTTCCAAGCAACACTTCTTACTCGGCGACAATGTCAGAACGACCAAAAAGCCAAAGGGTTTTGAAAACATTGGATCGGCTGGCTGTGAAAATCAACGCAGATATAGACATGCTGCCATGCTTCTGTTTCTGAAAGGCTAAATCTAAAACGAAAGAAAACTTTAATTTAGTACCATAGCGCTGTCAACATGAGACTAAAATAAAAGTATTTATCGTAAAACGAAAAAGTAAAACATTATTAAAATATTGTTATCACGTACTATCACAGATCTCAGCGAGTATTTGACAAGTTTGAAGAAACGAATAAACTTCTATACGACTATGTACTCTATGAAATGGGTATTCATTTCGAGGGGTGTTATTAAAGTTTCGGTTATTGCTCAATCGAGGAGTTTCTGAGGGTTGGGCATTGTGGGACATTGACAGGCCAGTCACATACTGAAAGCTCTGAGTTAAATACAGTTCCAGACGGGCATTGCATTCGCTCCAGACGATCCCATACACATCGATAGAACTGCTGGCAGTTCGACTCATCTGCTACAAAATCGCCATGACTTGCTCCACGACATCCCTTAACCACTGAAAAGAAGAAAGCCATTAATTTATCAGAAAGTTAAAACTGCTTTAAAATACGAACAATTTGTTTTGTCTTCATCAATCCGACATTCTGGAACAGAATCTCTATAGTCACATTTGCCAGTTTGCTCGTTGAAAACAAGCCCTGACGAACAAGATGGATACTCAAATATGTCGCCGCCAAAGCACTAAATTATCGTCGTGTAGAAATCTTATTTGTATTGTAAAACATGATTTTAACAGCAAAGCTACCTGCAATATCCCGGCACAGTTAGTTGGATTTCGATATAATCCATCAGTGCGACTCCTACAGAACGTTGTCGGATCATCCGAAGAGGCCGACTGTGATGAGCTCGTTCGCTGGGGCTTGTCATGGCATTCTGGAGCATTAATGCGCAAAACACACATGCCGATGGCGGCGGAAAACACTTCGGCAGTGGTGGAGCATGGTTCAATAACGGCTTTAGCATCGACACATCTAATATACGATGACCGACACCTTCCGAGAGGCTTCATTCCTCCTTCCGCGGTATTTCGACACCGGTCATCCTTCTTCTTCTCACTAGTGAATGAATGTTCTCCTGCTTGGACTTCAACACTTTGTGCTGTTGGCATCATCTGAACAGATGCTTTGCTTTGAGGAAAGACCCAAAAAACAAACCACTGACCTTACTCAAAAGATCTCTTAGTCTTTCCTGGCCACACTGCTCCGCCGGGACGCAGGTATTCAAGTGCGAGTCGAAGAGAAAACTGATGTTACACTCTTTGATTTCAAGAATTCCTTGTTCTGAGCACGCACCGTATGTTCGACCGCAAAAGTTAAGAGCAAATAGTGGACGCTTTTCGTCGTATACACAGCTGAGCGCCTAGTTAATATTACAAGTGAAGGAATGTTTTTGAAGGTTTACGCAAATGTGAAAAGTTGGAAGCAAAACCACTTACCGCATTAGACTCTGTGGCTGTTTGTTCTTCAAGATTGTGACACTCAGGAACAACTTCACGGTGGTCACACGTCATCGTTACGGGATTAAATACCAACGGACTGCTACATTGTAACTCTACAAGCTTGGAATTTTTTCTTCTAACTGCAAAACATCAATTGAAAAAAACTCACCGTTGGGAATCCCTCTCAAGCAAATCAAGAATTTTGAGGAGCAACGTGCGACCACTTGAGGATGAGTGGGACATGAATTATTTAGCAATTCGGTAGTAACTGCACTCACAGGGTTTACATCCTCAGTTGACTGATCTGGAAATAGGATTGGTTTGAAATATATATTGGTCTAAAATGGATCATTTGTAGCCATCGAAAATCAACAAACACTAGTGATATACAACCTCTTCCGGTTCCAAAAGTTTTAACTTCAGAATGGTCGACCACTGCTTTATTGACGATTGGAACAAACGGGCCGCTGGTGGCTGTCATGTTTATGGAATCTTTCATGTTGACCTCTGCCTTACCATCGATTGGAACAACTGGATCGCTAGTGGTGGTCATGTTGGTGGGATCTTTCATGTCCACCACTGCTTTAGTGATAACCGGAACAATTGGATCACCAGAGGCTGTCCTATCGGTGGCATCTTCCATGCTGACCACTGCTTTATTAACGATCGGAGCAATCGGGTCACTAGTGGCGGTCATAACGGTAGGTTCTTTCATGTCGACTACTGGTTTAGTGTTGGTTGAGAAAACCACGTCACTACTGGCGGTCACATTTATGGGATCTTTCATATCGACCAATGCTTTACTGTCGATTGGAACAATTGGGTCGTCAGTGGCGATCATTTCAGTGGGATCATTCATGTCGACCACTGCTTTACTGATGATTGGAACAATCGGATCACCAGTGACTGTCCCGTCTGTGGGATCTTTCATCTGAGGCTTAGACCGAGCTGATTCTGCTTTGCAAGCTGTTACATCATGCGGATAGTTGCACTGATGATTCAATCGATCAAAGACAAGACCCTGAAAAGCAATTCTCGACACTAATTCAAGAACAGTGGGAACTGATCTGCTCCTACAAATTATCTACCTCCGGGCATTTCATGGGATAGAAATGACCATGGACACATTTCATGAAGTTTCCACTACACTCCACACCAAAGTCACTGCTCTCCATGCATACCTGCTCAGTTGTCGACGCAGTACTATGCGGTGGTGCTAAATTAGAAAGCAATTGATGATACAATGGATTTGAACAGATCTGGTAAAAAAAAACGCAGACCTTGACGCTTTAAAATTAGCATCGATCTGCTTTGACCACAGAAAGTGGAAGTGATGCACTTTTTCGAAATGTTATCGAATAGGTCGCCAACCGGACATGCGGCCAACTAAAGCGTTCTAGAGTCGCATTGTGAAAATGTCGTTACACACAAAGACTGAGAATATCTTATCAATAAAATTTGCACTCGATATTCACATATAGTTAAGTTAATAGCCTGCGATTACTCACCACAGGAGCACCAACAGATCTACAGACTACAAAATCTTGACTGCAAAATCCAACTGCAACAATCCCTGGGGTGTTTGAAGGATTGCACATTGAAAAGCCCTTCGTTTTGTGATCGTCGGAATTTCGGCGTTTGCGCGAATGAATATCTTGTCCAGATCCCTAAGCCGGAAGTATAAGAAAATCGTAGACAAATAAAATAAAGTGATAGTCTTACCTCTATGTTTTGATCTTTGTACACTGTATCATTACTGTTCGTAAGGATACCATCATTAATGAACTCGGTGAGTGCACCAGGTTCCATTTTATCCTCATTGGCCTAAATACGAAATGTCACCCGTTCAACGTTTCGAAGAGCCATGAAAGAAGTGCTAGGTCCAATATCAGAAACCGATCGATCCAAATTTACCCTCTCATAGTCAAACGGACTTGAAACATCATCCTCTTCTTCAGACTGCGAACTACTGTAACGATATTGCCTGTACCGTTTGTGTTGGTTGGGCACAAACACACGATTGTATCCATCCTGAAGCCGTGGGCTATATCCGTCAAAGACGTCAAACACTTTCTGACGACGATTGCCGCCTAACACTGAACGCTCTTCAGATTTGATTGGACCGCGATTTATCTTGCCTAAAAAACCATGATCATTGCTTATAGGTATGCTATCCATTAATTAAAAGTCTTGAACCTTCTGCGAACACGTCGTAGACAGCCGATGGTTCGTATTCTGAATAGGTCAACGGGAAAGAGTTATCCCTAAAGTCGCCAAATGTGTTATAACTCTGAGCATATGTTTTAGAATAGAACGAGTAAGGCTCATAAGTTGGAACCACTGGAACCTGGTACACGATGCTTGTTGTAGAAAAATCGGGTCTCATACTTGTCTGAATGTTTCCATTTTAGTCAGTCATTAAAAGCGAAAAAGAATCCAAAATCTTTACTTCTGAAAAAGGTTCGGTGCTTGATGGAGTTGTCTGGCACTCTGGAAGGTCATATATGCATAGCAATAAATTATTATCAAATACTGTTTGTTTTGGGCACTGTGCGCTCATTAACTTTCCGTCTTTGCAACGTTTGAATTCCGGTGAGCAGCTTCCCAATGCCATGCTAGCATTGCATTCAGCCTGTAACTTCAACTATAAAATAAGGATCAAAGTAAAGCACAACTCAATCTTGTTCTCGGAATTTACTGAATGCAAAAATATACAAGCCATGTTCTAGTACCACTGAATATGAGTACTAACTGGTAATAGTTGGGAACTGACTTTCTGAGATATTTTAGACAATGTATGAGGAAAAGCACTAGGTGGAAGGCCAATTGAAGTGGTAGCCTCCGTAGTGGTCATATCATTTAAAGCGACGTCTTCAAGATGAACATCGCATATTGAAGGCAGCTCGCACCTGAGTACAATGCTTGGTAAGTTTAAATTGTTTTATCAGCCTAAGTGACTAAACTAACCGCCTTGAAGAAAACGAATACAGCAACCCATCGGCACAGTTGATAGAGTAGAGAGATCCGTGTGCGCAAAAGAAAAATGATGGTCGGCAGTCAGTAGAACTTAATGGTCCATCACCTCTGCTAGAGCATAACTGCGCTAAAATTGTATTGTGAAGAGGTCAACTGTAAAACTGTAAAAATAACCATCTCTCAGCATACCTCCAACAGCTGCGCTCTGAAATTGTACAGAGGCTAAGCTGGAAAGTGGAGAGCTGTTTGGTGAAGTCGTGGACGACGGAGACACAGATGTATTGCTATTGGATGATAAGGTCTTAGGGGCAGAGTTCACTTTGCACGATTCGGGGTAATCACACATCTTTAACATTACGGAATAAACGAGACCATGAGGACAAGTAGTAACAAAAGCCGTTCTATCCAGACATGTCGTAAACCGACGCTGACAGTCATGATCCATGATGACTCCATTAGATCGATTTACGCAAGAAAAGCCTTAATCAAGCACTGAGGAAGAAGTAAAGCCAGAGCAGGTTATTTTACCTCGATCTATGATAGTTGTGGGAACGGATTGTGCAGCGGGATTCGAGTCTAACTCTCCTCGAAGGCAGCTTTCAGGGTAGTCGCAATAGGCTTTTTCCAAGTTAAATACCATTCCATTAAGACATTTTCCAACAAACTTCTTCCCACCAACACAGTTAAAGTACTCAGAACTACATTTTCGTGAAAAATATCCGTCAACATCACACTCTAAAATTGTTTCTGTAGTTTTCACCTAACAAACTATTCATCGCCTAAAAGCTTACCTGCTTCATTTTTTGAGCCATCAGTGTTATTGCTAAAGACAGCCGCATATGAAGTAGGCGCATTCGCTTCTTTATGTTTCGAGTTTTGTGAACATGTAGATGGGATGTCACAAGCGCCGATTTCCCCGACGAACACTAAACCAGTTGGACAGTAGAGGTTATAGGCTACTCCTTTCAAGCATTGGAGGAATACAGAAACGCATCCGAGAGAATGAAGCCCATCAGACTTGTTGATGCATTCTGAAACACATAGACCATAGAACATCTCAAATATCTTAAACGAGAGAGCAACAGTTAATTATTGTTTACCGTTTTCTGAGACTTTAGTGCCGAAAAAGCCAAGTGAAGCTATCTGGGCGACGTCCTGCTTATCGCATTCATGAACATGGGTGCATCGACTGTTTTTTGGGTCAAACACAAGATTCTCAGGACATTTCATAGAGTAGGAGATTCCATTGGAACACAGAGTGAACGTAGGTGAGCACTGTGATCCATATTCACCACCGGGAAGTGTGGAACAATCTTAAACGAGGATTTGATATAACACTGTAGTAAAATGAACCTCAACGCACTGCGAAATATCCGAACAATATACCAATATTAAGTTCATCGAGACTTTTAGTGAATCGTTCCAAGGAGCGGGACTGCCTCATCGTGGTTGCAGAACAGTCATTTGTATAGTCACAGTAACCGTTTTCTTGGTTAAACACCAACGACGATGGACATTTCTTTAAAAAAAAGAATATAATAAATAGCACTCCAATACAGCCAGTCTGGACATTACCATATAGGTAGCAACACCCTCGTCATTGCAATATACAAATTCTGATGAACATTCTTTTGCATAGTAGCCTTCCTTCTTTCCTTCACATTCGACACTCCTTAAAGGATTATTGCTGAACCCTGGCTTTGCTTTACGATAATACAAAACCTACGTAGATAGAGCTTCCAGAGTCTCTGCGGTAGTATGGACGTGAGCGACTGGGAGTGTATTGACTTCACCATCTCGAGAACAGCTCTCTGGATAGACACAATATCTGCTCCTATTGTTGAACACTAGCTGTGACGGACAGTTCTGCAAGGATGCTAAACTCAAAATTTCCCTGAAAACATAAACGAAAATTGAAAACATACCATGACTGTAGCAACTCCATTCACACAGGAGACGAATTCATTTGAGCATCCATTGGAGTAGAAACCATTTTCCTTTCCTTCACAGCCTTCCCTAAAGTTAAGATTCTAAAACTACCAACTGCATGCATTAGATCAATAATATGCCCAGAAAAGGCTGCTCGAAGCATCATCATCTTGCAAATTCGTAGTTTATCAAGTCGAACAATTTTATAGCAGTGTCACACACTATATTTCATCAAGTGTATTTAACATCTACACATCCACGGCTATCTTTCAGCGCTAACAAAAGCCGCAAGAATTTTTGCAAACGGATTGCTTGCTACGCACACTAAAACTCGCACCTTAAATTCCATAGATGTGAGTCGTCTAGAAGGTACTATTTCTACCAGGTTTTTAGAAAAAAAAGCCAGAACCCATTAAAACGTTGTTGATAAATAACTACCCACTCTTGTAAAAACTAACTTCAAGATACCGACAGCTGGCACTGAAGCAGTCTGCGAATATACTGCCTGTCTTAAAGGCCTAGATGGGTCGCTAGTTATTTCAAAAGTGCAATCCTTTCCCGGGTAATCACAGTAGCCCTTCGCCTCGTCGAAGACCAGAGAAGATGGACATCTCTAGAATGCAGCACCTGAATTCTCTATCGATAGAAAAGTTAGAAACGCTTAGACTAACCATCGCACGGATCACACCACTCCGACACGAGAAAAATTGTGAGTTGCATTTTGAACCGTAATAACCGTCCTGACGATTCGAGCAATTGAATTTTACTGAGTTCGCCTCAAGAGTTCCGATAGAAGACGGCAAACATTCGGAAACTGAGACACGGGGTAAGCATGCTCCCTCCTTAAAAACTTTACCAGCCTCGCACTGAACAAGTTTCCATGTACCATCACTACAGGCCGCGTACTGCAATATAGACACTCACTGACTATCTTATTTGAGAGTGAGACACTCATCATTCAAAATGACTACCTGTTGAACACACTTTCCTATTGGATATGCACCATTAGCTTTTCCTTGGCAGCTTAGAGCAATATTGGCCGGAATACGCGCATGTCCATTTATTTCTAACAGTAGCCTATTAGCCTCTGGAAACCAAAGTACTAATGAAAAATGGCATTTTTTAAGTTACTTACTTGCATATGCTTGAAGTGCATAAGGTGTATAGGTTGGAACAAGAAACGGTGAATGTATAACTGGCTGTCTTTCGACTTCCGGATGGCCTCCACATGCGCGAATACGGAACTTGTGATCGCACTAAAATAAAAAATAGAAACCTAACTAGGCATAAGCATCGAAAGCGATTTAAATCGAATCAACTTCGGCTTGTCACAACTACAAACAGTAACAGAGGCAATTTAACTGTAACAGTACTACGGGGTGACGCGAAAAGCTCCCGAAAATTTTTTAGTGCTGACCCTTAAACTAGCATAGATAACTAACTGATCGCTCAAGAATGTCGACAGGTTACCTCGCAAACTAGTCTTTTAAGGTGTTCCTACACAAAGCAATTTTTTCCTTCGTAAAAATTAAGGCGAAAACATTCCACACACAAATGTGAACGTCCCGTAATAAACTTATCCATAAGACTAATATTCCACAAAAAACCTTACCAATTCACGGTCTACATCATAGTAGATTCCATGCTGACATTTTCTTTGATGGAGAATGCCATTACTACAAACGAAATACGACGGTGAGCATCCGATCGCAAAACTCCCGTCCAATCGACCTTGGCAACTCATTTGAGCTATAAAACTATCCATTTACGTGTGACTTTTTTTCCGATAATCTAGTTAATCCGCACTCACCTACACAATTGCCAACATTTGTAGCGAAATCACACTGGTTGCTGTCTGAATTGAATACTAACCCAATCGGGCAAGTTTTATTTGTTAGTTTGCCGTTGAAGCACTGAATATAACTGGCCGAACAGCTTGAAGTTGCAAAGACGCCATTGACTTGACCGTCACAGATGTTATTAAAGGGAAGACCTTAAGTGAACAACTAAAGACGATGACAAAAAACTGCTACATGGGTAACAGACTCACTTTGCACATTGAACGAATAACCGATAAAGCTTCTTACCCAATGTTAACCCGTTTAGGGTTAGTAGAAGTAGTACCCTCATGAGTGGACGATAGGTGAGTGATTAGCCAGTTCGACCGACGCTCCAATGAGTGAGAAGGCGAAAATGAACCTACGCATGTCCACCGTTATTGGCTCTTTTGATCTTGAGCGCGCGAAGAACATATACGGTAGGATTCGCATGAAACTTCTAACAGACGTCGCCTAACTGCTTTTGTTACGATCATTGAACTCATATATGATTCAGGTCGTTACTTTTTGCTCATGAATAAATGAAGGTCGAATAAATCTTTATTCTGAGAATCTCAACATTGTGCCGATTGTTGACGGCAAAAGATCAAACACTGCGAGTAATCAATTGTACACGGAAGTCGATAAAACCTGGGTCCTGCGCATGTTCTTCTGCTCACGCAAGTCCTTCGAGGAACAAGTCATTTACATGTGTAGATCATGATTTGTCTAGAAAATGACGCAAATGTATTTATAAAGTTTATGGAGTATTTGTTTCATTCATTTTGAAGCATCGCTGTGAAAGCAAAACAGTGTCACTGCAAAAGATGTGTGATCACAGCTGGTGTATCCTCTAGTGGATATGTGGAAGCTCGCATTCATTATTGAAGTAGCCGAAGCTAAATGGCATTCCAGAAGTGAACAACTGTAATAAAAAATTTCTGCTACTTTTGTATAAACTGCGAACTCTAATTTCTCACCGGTGAAAATGGTAAGTGGCTCAACTGCAGTGTCCTGTCTTGTGCGAGGCGCTTACATTTGTATCGACGATTTTGGAACCAAATTTTTACCTGAAGTTCCTGCCAGTCACTCTTGTTTTTCTCACTTTTTGCTTATATATAAATTTGGAATATTTTATGTTTGGGAGTTCCGAACAAGTTATTTGTTGGAACTGACTGATACTTTCATTGCGGCGCTTTTTAATTGGTGTTCAACACCTCATCTTCATTAAAATGAGAATGAATTCTCTCACATTTAGTTCAAGTAAATATTGTCTTTATGTTATTTGTCTACGTCATTTCTGGCCAGATTTTACTCTGTACCTTAACTATTATCGTGCTACACAGAGGGTCTCCTGGTGCATACGCCCTAATAAGATTGGTTGAAATACTCTAAAATGTGATCCAACCTGAACTAGTTTGGAAAATATTTCTTTTTATGTTGAGCTTGTGGAAGCACACTCACTCTGTTTAACACCTACGCGACGGCGTACCCGCTTTGCGAGTCATGTGAGTAGAAAACAATAACCACTTTCAACTTTCAGTCAGCATATCTTAGAGTTCATAGTGGACTTAAATATTGAAATATACGAAACACTGCTACAAGGTAGAAGTGCTCTTGTTCCAGTACAATGGACCTAATTTCCGCCACTTTATTGCTTCACAGCCCGTACTCCGAACGCGAAAGCAAGCGCTGTTTCGTCCAGTATAATATGATGACGTTCTCCAAGGCATATTCCGTTTGGATCAGCCACTCTTCAAGTAGAACTTTCAAAGATGTAAACTTCATTTAAATTGTTTTAAAATTGTTAATTTTAAACATGTTTATATTGGTAAGTGCAGTGTGTAAAAACCATCAAAGCTGAAAAAGCTCTCGACGTTGATCAATCCCTGAGGGATGCGCCATGCATTCGGCTTCACTAAGCATCGTTGGAGGTGATTGAATGCATATATGGCCTTTGCAATGACTCGCGGTCGATGCATCGAGCCAGTGCTGCTATCCTTCCAGACAACTCTGGTACCAATTTTCCGACCGCGGAGGGATGGAAGGCTTTGTGGACCATGGGCGCGGGAATCGATTCCACTTGTGTGTTGCAGAGAGCCTCCGACCACGAGGCCACACACGCTTTTATGAAAACCATATATGCGATTAATGCAATAGAGCACATTCGCTATTTCTACTAATCGAAAAATGCGGTTCACATTGCATTTAGAAAACTATCGTCATTCATAGATTTCACTAAAACATTTCACCACTTAATAGGCTGTGACCTGAAGCATTATTGAGATCCATTGCACAACCTCCCTTCATGTTTTATGTGCAACGTCTTCAATAGTGATGGTTTTGAGCAGCATTGCTATCATCCGTGTTTATAAGTGTTTCCCCAAGAAGGGGGTTGGTTTTACACAAGTAAGTACTAAGTTTAGTAAGGGACCATTAACTGCACTGGCCCAACAACTGGATACAACTCGGAGAAAGTAGTTCAAAAACTGGAGTACAGTTGGTACAATGAAATGGTATACTTATTAATACTAGCGACTAGTTATCAACTAGTTTTTACGATAGCCAAATGTGCGTTTTTCTAAAGAGCAATTTTACGGCAACGAATTTCGAATAATCTATATGTTTCGGCTAGGTACAGATATGGACAATAAATATAACTTTCGCCATGACAGTGTGTGTTGCATAAAGTGTAGGATCGTTCGATACTTTAGTACTCAATGCACAATTTTCGACGTTTGGTTGAATCATTTGCGCCGCTGTCAATGAACCTTCCTCACCTGCGTAGCGCTGAGTCCTAGACTGCGTGCTAACTCCTCTCGTTCTGCAGCCGTCACGTAGCGCTGCTTCTTGAAGTGTTCCTCCAGTTCGCTCACCTAATTTCAAATCATTCGTATCCTAGAGCTGTGTTCGTCACCTCCTCGAACGACTGCTATATCAGGGTGAAGCACATACCTGCCGCTGAGAGAATAGCACTCGTGGCTTCCTTCGTTGTTGTTGTGTACGGAGAGTCACGTTACGTTCTGTGCTGTTTTGAGTGCTTTTCATAAACGTATCTGAAAAGCTTCACTTCTTCTTGCAAATGAAACTTTTGCCCTTCCTCTCAATAGCGAGAGCACGGTAATGTTTACACTGTCACACGACAAATCAATGAAGTTGTTTTTCGCAATGATTCTGAATGAGCTAATATTGCGTGAAACATCTCACCATATCAAATAACTCCTTATCATGTCTAATAATTACCAATAGACTACAGAGTGAAATTCAATTAAATTTTTTTTGCATGAAACGCCAACACACTGTACTGCAACCAGTAACCGGATCCCAGTAATACTTGCATTCGATTCATTTTGCTCGCATTCGTCGTCCACGAAACTCTTCGAATATTTCTCATACTTCAGCTGTTGAATGAAGATTGAGAAATCATCCATTGATGGGTAATTGCTGATAAGTGCAAAAGCAATGGTCCCTATTGATGCGGTTTATGGCAGGTGATGCCCCGGTTAGAGTAATCGCAGGTTCGAAGCCCACTTGAGATTCCGTGTTTTCCTTATGTCTCAGCATCGCAATGATTGTATTTGGCGTCGCACTCTTTAAGGTTGCATTTCACATCACACTCTATTATGGAAAAAGGTTACGCAGCAAATAAAAGTTGATACATTATGATATCAACAGCGTTTTTGAATTACTGTTTTCATTACAATATTAGATGAAACATGGAAAAGCTAAACATAAGGTCGAATTTTATTGAAGATAAAATTTAACAAGTCTCAAGATCCAGTGTTTGAGGCGTACATTATTTAAGCATTTCTCTTTTGCCCCAAAGGTTATAAACGTTCTTTAAACTTACTGAAATATGCCATGTGGGCCTCTGTGGCAATCTGATATTGTACATAAGGATTGGCATCGATGGTCAGCTCGCTCCCTCCGGATAAGCTGTGAGGGCAGTTTTCCGACGATGTAAACGACGAGCGAATTCCATCATGGATCTGCATGCTGCTCGTTCGTTCTAATGCTTTATTGGTGCTAATAAAGGTGGTGGCAGATGGGCATGATGGTAGCGATGAATCCATAGATACTGGCTATTATATTCTGAAATATTATCCGGAAAGAGAAATGAAGGCGTTACGCTGTTTGTCATCCATTAGAGGCATCTTCCATGGCTTGGCACAAGCACGTGAACTTTTACGGAAAGCGCGCTGTGGGTAAGATCATGTTGCACATGTGAATAAGCTGCATAACAACTTCTCATCTGTGAACGGTCATAATCAATTGATAATTTTTTGTCATATCTTTTTGATTTATGCGCTAGGATCGATCTTGGAAGTGCTTTTTAAACAATCGGCCTTAGCAACATTTTAAGTGGCGAAACTGGTGTTACTTACTTGGATTCTCGGACGGTCCGGTTTCATGGACTGTGTGGACTCCAACACATCTGCCATTCCTTTTTTTCATTCGCAATCCTCGCCCATGATGGTGGTTGAATCCGAGCCATTCGAGCATGGTGGCCAGTGCTAGTCTCATACCGTCGATCTGTAAAATAACTGCAGCTGCGGGTACAGCTGATTAATTTGGTTACGAACACATCTCGCCCATCGTGTAGTCCGTCCTGAGGGACGCGCTCATCCTCGTAGAGTCCACTGTACAGTTCTTTTCGTCTGTCTACTGTCCGTTCTTTTCATTAGTTGGCCGCCGCAACTGCGTTTCGCTACCGTTGTATATTATTCAGGGTGCGAAAATAGGACGGATTTCGAAGATCAGAGTTTCGATTTCCAGCTAGATATTGAGTGTGTCCGTGTGTCCGTTATATTTCAAAAAACCGTTCAAGCGCATTGCGAGTGGTGAGCAGTGTTCTTGACGTGGTTGAAGTATCAGCCCACGTCTCTGCAACATGACAAAACGCTTAGACGACCGTTGAGTCGAAAAGGTGAGCGCTGATTTTGGGTGCTTCAGTTGTCGTTGGGTCTTTGGGAGGCCAGAATGCGGCCGAAGCTGCTCTTCTTCTCTCGTACAATTCTTCTTTCATGTTGTATTCTATGTTCATTGATCGCTCAAGGTATACGTAACCTACGAGGTAGTCTCTACGATCAAAGAACCTTCCATTTCAATTTTTTGCCTTCGCACCATGGGTTTTCCATGAACTGAGTCTTCTTTCGATTTATGCGCAGTCTGATCTTTTTCTCCGCTTCGTTGAGCTTGTTGAGCATCATCTCTGTTTCTCTAGTACTTCTTGAGAAGATGACGATGTCATCGGCAAAACCAAGGTTCGATAGGAATATTCCGTCAATACGTGTGCCTTTCTCATCAAAATCGAGTGACTTCATTATGCACTGCAGTGCGGCGCCGAACAGTTTTGGAGATATTGCGTCGCCCTGTCGAACCTCTTTTCCTACGGGTATGACAAGAGTTCAACGGAAAAGGCTTTTTTTCTTAATGCATTTCCGCTAGCACTCAGACAGACTTCTTCTTCATTCCTTGGTCTACGAGCGCTGGTAGGATTGCATTCGCTTCGACACTAACAAATGGTTCTTCGTAGTCGACAAAGGTTGGGAATACAGGCAGATGGTATTCCCAACAAACTTCATTGGTCCTGGACACATTTTGGATGTGGTCCATGCAGCAAAATATTTGTCGGAATTCTCCTTGTTCCACTGGTCACGCTCATTCCTTGTTGTTGATACACGCGACTGGATAATCTTCGTGAAGAGCTTGTAGAGTACACTGGACAAGCATGTAATGAAACCAGTGTTTACATGAATCATTAAATCAAGTAATTGTGAAACAAGTGAGCTAGTAGTACTGATACAGGATGCATTTTATATGCTATATTTATTTACTTTGTTCCTGAAATGAATGTTCTTTCTTTTATTTATAGTAGCTCTGTTTTTTGGCAATAACGTCTTTCTGTTAAACATACAATGACTTCCAGTCTCCAAATATTTCAACTAATCGCTTTGAAGAAAACTGTGTTTTTGATTTACCTACACCATTGAATAATGATGTGGAATTAACCTATAAAATACAATGTTGAAGAGGAACGTGACCAATGGAGAGGTTTTTCACAAGTCTGCAGAGTGCTAATTCACATGTGCTGTTATCGAGTGCTTCCTTAAAGGCACGCATTATTATTACAGCACGCAACAAATGCACTAGAGATTCCGTTAAGACCAATCCTACTTGGTAAAAACACTGATAATTTCTACCAGTAATGGCTTTTAAAAACTAGAGCTTGTTTAGTCCCAAGCTTAACATCGGAGCCCTACAAAGTTCTGGTTGTTATGCTTGAATGTGTGGCATGTGCACAGGTTTGTAAGCATCTCAGTTTTTCGTCTATTACAATTTAGTAGCTTATATCCTCCGTCTAAGAGTGAAAGTGATCACGAACGTATTATATGAATAGAACCACAATACGCCTGAGACATTCTCCGGACTGCTGGTGTCTGCGGTGGGGACCGAACACGCTTTTACCCTTTTTTAGGGGCTAACGTGTTTACCATTATACCACAGTCTTTCGTTTCGTCTGCCCTCAGCCGTCGTATTGACCTACTGGCGCTATCAATAATCACCCGTCAACAGGATTGATTTGGGAGCACAAATCGACATGAACCTAATTAAGCTGAAGTTATAGCATAAACCACAATGTCGTCAATTTTTGTTTACTGCCTACTAATTTTTAATGGCAGGGTATTATGTGAAATATAACCACAATGTTGCTGAGATATTTGCAGAACTCCGGACCGCTGCTATGTGCGGTGGAGACCGAACACGCTATTGCCCCTTCCGGGAGCTAAGGCATTCACCACCACACGATGCGAGTCCGTACACAACTGACCAGTATGGCACCTATCGGTACCATTTTCTTTCTGGTGGTTGGTTTCCGTGTGCATAAAATTTTTTAGAGTTCTAAGATGATGTCCCATTAATCATTTTTCACTTGACAATTCAAAAAAAAAACCATCTTTTTGGGGTAGTTCATTTCGTAGGCGGGAGACCATTTCTGCCAAAGGGAGTGCGCAACGTAGAGAGTCCGGCTGGTGAGGAGGCGCAGAAATGCCTCTACCGATGGGCACAGTGGGACTCGACAGTTGGGGAGATCTTTCAGCTAGGTTAAGGTGATAAATCGTCGGCAACAATTCTCCAGAGTGGCTAGGTGTTCGCACAATATGCACTCATTAGTGTTTTTGGTCAGCACTTTGTTTTTATAAACAGCTATGAAGTCTTTTTAGTACAACCATAGTTGATCTGTTGGAAGTTTTTATCAAAAAACATTTATTGTAAAATCTGCAGTTTAGAATGTATATATGTATGCACGACATGCAACTTCAATACTCTGCAAATAAAATACCATTCTGTACATTCTTTACATATAAGTTCCAGTACCTGCAATAGGTGCTTTCTCCCACTTCGCTCATAATTACTTCTTGGAAAGTTTTTCGCATTTTCTATTTCTTCGATTTTCTTCTCACAATCAACAACTTCGATGAAAGTGGAGAAATTGTTTTCAGTAGTCACCAAAAGTGGTATCTGTGAACTAGCTAGGCGTTCATCAATGTCTGCCCACATAGTACGCCTAAATTACCACTCTTTGCATATAATTTATAGCATGCATGTCTTACTTATACTTGATAGTTGAACGGTCTGTCCTCACTGGTTGTGAGGGCCTCAGCATAATCTCCATTTTTCGGAGATCTGCTGGTTAAGCTATTGTGGTTTCCTGGAATCCCGAGGTCAGCCGAGCCGAAGTTCTCCCCAGGTCCTTGATCACCACAGGCAGCTGCAGCCCTTGTGGAACAAGGAAGATTTGCCACCATGCGACTATGATACCAGAACGGTGGTGCGTCGTGGTATTGGTTCACTCTTAGTTAGGCTTCCTGATGCAAACGCCGGTCTCGTTCTTAGCTTGGGAGACCCTGCCGAGTATGAATCCCCCACTGTACATAGCAGTCCGACACCCAGGAACACCTCCCAGCCACTGTGAAGCGGTAAACAGTTGGGAGGACCTTGTATGTCTACGTTTCATTTATTCCTCGTATTTCCCTTGTTTGCGACCAGTGCTTAAATCC